GCCACCACATCTTCAGGCTAAAGGGGAAAGACACAGAAAGAGAGAAAGTATTAAATGTCTGTGTTATGAGTGAGAGACAGACTTTTGGAGACGACGATCATTTGTCTACACCAGTGATTCCCAATCTTTAGTCTTCCAGGTGTTTTGGACTTCACCTCCCAGAATCCCCAGCCAGATTGGCCAGCAGTCAGGAATTCTGGGAGCTGAAGTCCAAAGCATCTGGAAGACTAAAGATTGGGAATCACTGATCTATGTAAATCAGTTGAAGTAAATTCTTCATTCACCAAGGACTTTGAGACTTGCTTAGAGCTTGAAAAGATTACTTTTTTTTTGCACTACAAATCCCAGAATCCCCCCAACCAGCACGGTTACTAGCAGTGGCAACTGAGGGATGCTGGCCTTGCCCTTCATGGAGGAGGCTGGGGAATCAAACGCAATTGCAGAACAATGCATCTGTAGCAGAAAGAAGCCGCAGAGATGCCTACCCTCACTTTGCGGGCGGAAAGACGGCGGACCAAAGCTCGCACCCGCTTCAGTTCATCTGATGGTTCATCGGTTTGGGCATTGGACTTGGGGAGGTTGCCTGGCACATGGCGAAGGGAATTTGTAGCGCTGGCCAAGTCGAGTAACTCTTTGCTCAACTCTTCATTCTTAGCCACCTACACAAGAGACCAAGCAAGAGAAGTGGTTTATTAGGAACAGGGTCACCATTGCTCAGATGGAATAGCAGATATTGTACTAACAACCTCTTCTTGCTATTGGTCTGAAAGACCCTGGCATTGAAAATGGCATCAAACTGCTTTATTTCCGCAGTGTGGATACCCCCAGAACATCTGACCAGAATAATTCTGGAACAGTTGTTTCTCTGCTTTCTTTTGTATGTTCCTAAGTACTCAGAATCTCACCTTGGTAATCGTATTTTTATTGTCTCATAAATGTATTAGTTCCTCCTAATGTTGAGGTGGAATCTCTCTTCTTGTAGCTTGCATCCATTGTTCTGGGTCCTATTCTCTGGATCAGCAGAAAATAAGCTTATTCCTTCCTCAACATGAGACCTCTTCAAATACTTAAACAGGGCTGTCATGTCATCTCTTAACCTTCTCTTCCTCAGGCTAAACATACCCAGCTCTCCCTCCTCATAGGGCTTTATGTTTTCCAGACCTTTCTCCATTTTGGTCATCCTCCTCTGGACATAATTGCCCACATCCTTTTTGAATTCTGGTGCCCAGAACTGGACACAATATTATTCCAGGTGAGGCCTGACCAGAGCAGAATAGAGTGGCACTGACGCTGTACTTCTGTTGATGCAGCTTAGAATCTCATTGGCCTTTTTAGCTGCTGCATCACACTGTAGGCGGATATTACAATAGCAAAGCCATAGAAGAGGCATTCCAACCTTTTATAATGTTTAAAAACTTGTATAAAAGCCAGGGAAATACTGAGGGATGGTACTCCAGAGAAGGGTTTTTGTTTTGGCTCTTGGGCGAATCCCCATGCGGGGTAGATTCTGCCCCAGGGCTGGAGGTTTCCCGCTCTTGCAGACAAATAGAAACCTATGATCTTACGTGCAGCCCTTACCTCCAGTTCATGCTCCTTGCCCAGTGCAAGGTAGTTGCTCTTCAAAACAAGGTACTCATCTGCCAGCTCCTTTCGGTTGGCTTCAAGTGCTTGAAGACGCTCCTGTAAGGCATCGCGTTCCCCTGTTGTTTTCTCGGTGTGAAGCTCAACCTCCAGAATACGATTTTCCAGGGTCAGAATCTAGGAAAGCAAAAGCCATTGGGGAAATGTACTGTACATATTCGTGTATAAGCTTAGACAGAGAACCACTGTGGTGTAGCGGTCTGAGCATTGGACTATCACTCTGGAGACCAGGGTTTGAATCCCTACTCAGCCATGTACCTGGTTTTAACTGTCTTAAAGGGTTTACATTTCTTAGATACGGTAGTTTAATAGGTTTGTAGAGTGTAAACTTTTGTTGTTATTGCTGCTGCTTCACATTTTGCTACACTGGACCATACAGGATTGCTTTCTTCATGTGCTAATCTGCTTATCCATATTAAGGAATTGATTGCACAAGGCTAGTAAATTGCAGTAAGATAATAGTATCTTTGGAGCTTATCACACGGGAGAGAATCAGCCAAATCCCATGCAGAAACAGAAATCCACAAATATGGAATCGTTTTCAGACGCATTGAACATTAATCTGAAATTAACCCACACAGAAAGTGGTCAAATCCTGCAAAAGTGGGATCATTCTCAAACACTTTGGGGGCACTGAGCATTAATATGACATTAAAATCCTGAAAGTAAAATACAGCCGATTTTTACTTTCAGGATTTTAATGTCAGATTCCTTCAGAAGAAGGAATGCCAGTTAACTCCTTTTAGGTCTACAGTGGTAATTCCTGATGTTTCGAGGAGAAAATATTGGGTGGGGTGGGGAGAAAACAAGCTACCACATATCATAGAATCATTGAGTCGGAAGACACCCCAAGGGCCATCCAGTCCAACCCCCCTGCCATGCAGGAACTCAAAATCAAAGCATCCCCGACAGATGGCCATCCAGCCTCTGTTTAAAGACCTCCAAAGAAGGAGACTTCACAAACTCCAAGAGAGTTTGTTCCACTGTCAGAATGTTCCTCCTAATATTTAGGTGGAATCTTTTCCTGTAGCTTGCATCCGTTGTTCCGGGTCCTATTCTCTGGAGCATAAGGTTAGAAAGCCGCATGGTCTCCAAATGCAAACCTACCAGATTCTTCAGTTCAAAGTTTTCTTCTTCGTGTTGCTCTCTCATTTTGTTGCTCTCGATCTGAAAATCAACAAAGTCCTTGGAAATCTGAAAGGGCAAAGAAAAGAAGTTGACTTTGTACTCTGGGTTTTGGGAAAGGTCAGACAGGTTTTCTCTAAGGAGCCAAACTAAATGTGGCCAACAGCTACTGGGCATCAAGAGTAATGGGAGGGTGACACTGGCGAAGGATCTCTCTGAGAGGATAGCAGTGCATTGGAATCAATCCATTGATTATTTACAGAGGAGGTCTGGCCCGCCTCACAGGGTTGTCTTCAGGACTCTTGAGGTATCTACCTTTCCTGACCTGGGGGGCATGGGGATACAAATGAAATATTACAGATTGGGTCGCCTGTATCCAGAATATTCCAAAATCCAGAATCGTCCACATGTGTGGCTGAGATAGTGCTACCTTTGCTTCTTGCTGGGTCAGTGTACACAAACTTTGTTTCATGCACAACGTTGTTAAAAATATGATGTATAAAATCAGCTTCAGGCTATGCGTAGATGTATGCAAAACATAAATGAATTTCATGCTTCGACTTGGGTCCCATCGCCAAGATATCTCGTTGTTGTTGTGTACCTTCCAGACGTTTCCGATTTATGGCAACCCTAAGGCAAACCTATCATGGGGTCTTCTTGGCAAGTGTCTTCAGAGGGGAGTTGCCATTACCATCCTCTGAGGCTGAGAGAGTGTGACTTGCCCAAGGTCACCAGTGAGTTTCATGATGTATATGCAAGTATTCCAAAACTGGATAAACTCTGAAATCCAAAACACTTCTGATCCCAAGCAGTTCAGATAAAGGAGACTCAACCTGTATTACCTCCTTGACATTATTCTATGTGGGCTATGGATTACCTTGAGTTTCTCTTCTTCACTGTGGATCAGTCTGGATGACAGGTCAGTCTTTGAGCCAGCCAACTGTCCCATCTTTTCCTGCAGCTCTCCTATTTTGTTATAGAGCCTTTCATTTCGGTCTTGCAGCTGGACCTGCAACATAAGAAAACAACCTCAGCACTTGGGGTGTTAAAATCTTTCGGTCCTGATTTCTCTCCTTTGTGTCCTGCCTGAATGTTCTTCTTCTTCTTCTTCTTGTTTCATGCTGGATTGCAAGATTTTCAGTGCCTAAACTTTGTGTTTAGACTTGGGGCCCATCTCCAAAATATCTCATTATGTACATATTTGCAAAGACAGGTATTCCAAAATTCCTTCCCTCTCCCTCCAAAAAATCCCAAACACTCCTGGTTTCAAGCATTTCGAAAAAAAGAGACTCAGTGTGTACCACCCGATATGTCGAAGCATTTCAGAGCTGCGTAAAACAAAATTGGAGTAAGCAGTTTAAAACAAGTTAAAAGTAATAATCTCTAGGTCCTTCAGTGTGACTTTTGGTTAAAGTTGACCATAGAGTTGCGCTGGAGGAGCCCCAAATGCCTAGTGGAGTGTTCTCTCTAGGAATCTCTAGGGCCGTCAGTGCAACTTTTGGTTAAAATTGACCATAGAGTTGTGCTGGAGGACCTAGAAATCCCTAGAGAGAACATATTAATAAAATCCGTGAATAACCAAAGCCGCAAAAGTCAAAGCCGCAAATGTAGAGGGACGTGTGTGTGTGTGTGTATACCATATATATATAATTTGACACTTACGTTTTCATTGGTGAGCCGCCGCACCTGTTCTTGGAAGGCAGGAATGCTGCTATTCTCAGGGCCGCTTCCAAAATCCATGGGGACCATGGAGGCAATGTTTAGTAGCCAGAAGGAAATCCTATAAGAAACCAAGAAGAGCTCTGTTTGGTGTGTCTCCCAAGAGCCTTTCCTTGCCCAGACAGTGTTGCTATCAACTCTGGTTGTTAACAGGTGTGGCTTTTGCCTGGTTAATGAACCAGAGGAAGAAAAGCCATTTACCTGTTCCCGCAGGACGCACAAGGAGAAACACAAACCTTGGCTCTTTTCAGGTAACAGAACACGCTCGCACAAATCCAGCTTGGACTTCAATTATCTCTGTGTTTATTTTATTAAACGTATATCCTGCCTTGGCACGGAAATAGCACTCAAGGTGGCGAGCAACGATAAAACCCAGCTGGAAAAGAAAATCTGAATTATAGCGCGACAATAGGAGCAGCGTTTCATTTCAATAGTAGATCAGAGGCAAAATTGTAAAAGCCCTGGGGATAGAGCAACCAAGGTGTTGGGACTTTAAACCAACACCAGTAAAAACATGAGCAGGTGTAGTGGTTTGAGCATTAGACTACGACTCTGGAGACCAGAGTTCGAATCTCTATTCAGCCATGAAATTCCACTGGGGGACCTTTGGCAAGTCATACTTTCTCAGCCTCAAAGGAAGGCAAAGGCAAAAACTGCTCTGAACAATTTTTTCCAAGGAAACCCCATGGTAGGTTTACCTTAGGGTTGCCATAAGTCAGAAATGACTTAATGGCACACAACAATACAACAAAATATCTGCAAACAAAAATAAATAATGATAATTTCCCCCTCCCTCCCTCAGTTTCCAGGTTGTCCTGTCCTGTGATTCCTCAATTCTAGCACAGGAAATGCAGGAGGGTCTCAAAACAAGTAAAACACCAACTAGGAAACAACAAGGGAAGGGTGTGTATGTGTGTGTGTGTGTGTGTGTGTGTGTGTGTGTGTGTGTGTGTCAAAACTTGGTTGTTGTTGTTGTTGTTGTTTTGTGCCTTCGAGTTGTTTCTGACTTATGGCGACCCTAAGGTGAACATATCATGGGGTTTTCTTGGAGCCAGATTTGTTCCAAGGAGCTTTATCCTTGCTTTCCCCTGAGGCTGAGACAGTGTGACTTCCCCAAGGTCACCCAGTGGGTTTCATGG